CTTATTTAAGAGTGAGTAAATGAAATTATTATTGCGTCAATGATCAATTGAGTGAACCATCTCTGAAGTTATTTTTTGGCTAAAACTTATTTATTATTGTTTCAATTTTAATAAATTGTCATTTAGTTCTTTTTATTTGAATTATTCTTATTTTTTATAAAAATTCCCCTTATTCTGGACTTTGGAAGAAATGAATTTTTTTTCAATCCTTGTGAATTTAATCCTACTCATCGTTATATACAAAATTTATATTTTTCTTAAGAATGTATTTATTATTAGACAAGGTCAATATCTGTCAATTTTTGAATAGATATTTATTATTGCATATACTCGATTCCTGTTAATATTTGACGTCGCTGCCGGGGACTGGTATCTGATTAATTTGTTTTCATTTTGAGTTCATCTTATTTTCTTCAAATTTTATTTTTATTTTTCTCCTTTTTTTTACTAATTTATGGTTGCTAATATTCAATATTTTGGTAATAGCCAGAATTTTATTCCTATGAGGATTAATGAGGCTCGTGTCTCTTCTAATGATCAACATTTAGATACACTAATCTCTCTTGTAGAAAAATTGGCTATTGCAACTTGTAAAATTTGTTATATCTCGGGTCACTCAATCGATGTGTGCCCCGCATTTCAAAATAACCTGAAAATCCCAATCAATACCTTTGAAGATTTTTCAACCTTATCTCAAATATGAGATGACCCTTATTCAAACGTATATGATTAAGCACGGTGGGACAACTCCAACTTTAATTATGCAGCAAGGCCAATAGATTTTCAACATTAATATCAACAGCAACAATCATCATCCTTGCCAAGTATGTCTTTTAAAGAAATTATTGAATCACTAGCTACTAATATATATCAATTTCAGCAGGAGACAGAAATGAAAATTAGAAACATAGCGGATTAAATTTGTCTATTGGTATCTACAGTGATGCAATTGACTTCTCAAATTTGTGAAGAATCACCCTCACAGACCATTATGGATCTTAAAAAAGATGAAAGTGCAATTACCCCGACAAGTGTTAAGGAACTGCAAGAGTTTCAAGAAAAATGATATAAAGATATAGTTGAAAAGGAAATTCAAAAGGAAGAAATGAAACTCCAATGTCAAATCGCTCTAGTGAACAAATCTAGTGAACAATTTTCAAATGTGATGACACCTTCTCTATTCCTTAGCCGACATTTTCTTAACTCTTATTCTATAATTTTTGTAAGTGAAATTGACTTTGTTATATTAAAAATTTTTGAGTTTCATAGCAGGAATAAGTTAGAAGTTGCGATAGCCAAATATTTTGAATTGATAATTGCTCGTGATGAAGGAATAAGTGAAAAATTAAGTCATTGCTTACTTGTTTGGTTCCATTTACTAGTTAATGGAAGAAAGTAACTCGTGTTTTTATGGATCACTCTACTTACGAAAGTTATCAAGATTACACAGAGAATGAAACACTAAACGAGTTATAAGATTTTATCCTTCTTGAATAAATATGGCAATGTCTAGTCAAAAATATTAAAGAAGGGCACTTATTGGGAAATAACTCAATTCGTTTTTAGTTTATTTTGATAACTTTTATTTTAGGTTTCTTGTGTTTTGCCTGTTTAATTTTGATTTTGTTGTTTTAGTGGATATAAGATTACTACTAGACAAGGCATGCCCATACCTAAGTAACTGACAAGTTTTCATGACATGTTCAGAAATTTCAGAAGATTACTGGTCAACAAGATGTGCCCATGTCTATGAGTGACGTTGAAATTGGCGAGTTAGAAAATTTTTATCAGAAAACTCCTTATGTTTTAGGTGTGCTCACATCTAAAATGACTGAAGAATTTGGTGGCTATTTTCATTCTATTGGTTTCATCTCACTTTTTGCTCTTGATCTTTAGCAATATGATGCCCACCTCCATGTTCAGAAAAGTTTCGTTGTTCATCTTTCTATTATTTTGTTCTTTATTTCTTATATTAGGAACAATATAAGATTTAGGAGTTGGGGGTAGTATATTGGTAAAGTGCAAGTGTAATCATTGTCACATTTTTTGGCATTTTTTTTTAAATTTCAAATTTCATCTATTTTTGTCAATTTTTGAGCATTTTTGTAGTTATTCTTGATAATTAGTAGCTAGAATCTCAAATGTGACAATTGTTAAGGTTTTAAATGCTAATGTGTCAAGTATGATGTGATAAGATTTAAGGATGTCTCTCTAATGAATGTTTGAGATTTTGTGACTTTTACAATTTTTGATTAACTTTTCTAGTTATTGTAAATATTTTCTGGCATTTTTCGTATGATTCTTCATGTTTGAAAAATAAAGCGGACTTGTGTGGTCTTTAATTTTATTTTGGTACTTATTTGTGAATTATGTTTGGCTATATTCTGTTAGTTATCGTTGCCTAGTAATCGGGGATTTTCACTATAAGTGTCAACTTTCGCATTAAAAAGTAGTGATAACTATGAGTATGTGGTATTTAAACAATGAGAATTGAGTAGCTGACCTCTTTCATTTGGTAGATGTTGGAATTTGCGTAAAAAGGCTTGAAATGGTTAGGGACTAAATAATTCTAAAAAGAGAAAAGAAAAAATGTGCTACTAGTGAAAAACGTGGAAGTATATAATGATTATGTTAGCTTGCTGATCCATGAGTTTTAGTGTTGAGATTTTACTTAATAGTTGAACTATTTGCCGACAAATGTTCGTTGAATATTTTATATTCTTAGATTAGTTAGTCAAGAATTAAGAGGGTCTTTAGTTTTAAAAGTTAACCGAAGAGATATTTCCTCGAGACCAACCACTAATACTTGACATATGTTTTAGTTGTATCTTGATGATGGATGATTTGGGCTATAACCATTATTTGAACTTAATTATTTGATTTGTTGTTCTCGTGTTGAGAACAAGCATAGTTTAGGTGTGGTGAAAATTGATAGGTTGCATTTTTATTTTTAAATTTATGATTATTTTTCCTTTGATTTTATCAAAATATTATATTAATTCGTGGATTCTACTTATATTTGCTAATTAGTGTTGGTGGTGGGAATTCGGAGCAAAAAGAAATTAAAGACGTAATTTTTAACTGGGTTTTGTGCAATTCAGCGTGGGCATATAAAAGTCTAAACTTTGCAAGTCTGGGAAGTTTCGGATTTGGCACGTGATCTCCAGTCATGAATTGAAGTTGCAAGAATCAGATGTTTCACCAGATGGATAGCTTTTTACTCCTACAAGGATACTAGTCTATCTATCTACTAAGACTTTTTTTTTTCGGATAAGAATGTTGACTTGTTGGGATTTTGATTTCGTTTAGGAAGAATAGTTTAGTAGGAGTAGGAAATGAAGCAGCAAAAAAATTTTACTCCCTTCCCCCTCTCCCTCCGCCAGAACAAATAGCAGTAGAAACAAAAAAGAGGGAGAGGGGAGGGAAATAGGAGAAAGGTAGAAACAGGAGGAGGAGGAGAGGGAAGGAAAGGGAGGAGAGAGATGCGGGGGAAGAGAGGACGAGAGCGGGCGAGAAGAGGGGAGGGAAGGAGGAGAGAGAAAAAAAAGAGGTGGGTGGCACCAGAATCGGCGTCGCCTGGTCTTGACTGGTGACGAATGTGGTGGTGGGTTGAGGTAGAAGAAGAAAGGAGGAAGGGAAATTTTTTTTGTGTTTTGGATATTTTAAAGTGTGCAGTTTAAAAATTTTGAGAAATTTTTTGAAATTACTATAGTTGAAGTTGTTAAAAAACTTGTAGGAAACAAATTTGGCAAAAACTCACTTTGCCAAACAAGGCCTAGGTGTCTTTAAGCATTAAGATAGAGATTTTATATTTTTTGAAAATTCTTCTATTTTTTAGTTCAAGTCTATTTTTTGAATTAATTTTTCATATTAAAATTTAATGGTTCATGTAAGGGTAAGTTCGAAAAGATATCCTTTCTAGTATTTTACATTAATATTTATGCATGTAGGCTCACTTCATCAAATTGAAACTTAACAAAGTATAATAATTAAAATTTCAAGAACGTTGATCTATTTTATTTAAAACCTCAAGGGAGGTTTTTGAAATATTCCATTCTATCAAGCATAAATTAGTAATTGGAACTATGTCGCTTCCTTCTCAGTGACGACATGTTAAAGCATTTATCATAGGATTTTTCTAATAACAGGCCATATGTAATATATATATATATATATATATATATATATATATATATATATATATATATATACTTCTTTCATATTTAGACATTTTTCTAAATTAACTTTATTTTTATAAAAAAATCAACTAACATCTCTCTTAAACATTTGCCTATCAAGCAACCTTTAACTATCCTCGTGAAAAGTTTTACTCAAATTGTTGGATGTAGTCAAACCAAACTATTCAAAAACGGTTGGCAAATAACTTGATTAATAGTTTTACTCGATTCGATATTAACAGAGCTCGAGTCAAAAGTTAATACACTAACACTCTCATTCAGTTTTCATATACGTATTTAAACCAAACTTTTGGTTTCAACTTTGTTAACAGATCAACTCGACTCAGGTTCACATAAAAATAATTAGGCTTTATTATTCAAACGAACACTATTTATCAAATTTATTAGACCCAGTCAAGACATCAACTCAGCAAAGTCATGATATAACTAATTAGTGATTCAACCATAAATTTTTCGATTGAACCAATGGTCATATAATATAACAAAAGATTATATTTCGGATTATCTATATAACCGATTGACCCACATGATTTTCTGAATTTCACTAGTTGAACTTGCGATTCTTGATTCCCGTTCTTATGTGATCCAATTAATGACTAGATTCGATTGGTTGATTTGTTTATCGAGTTGGCCGGTTAAACCTCCGAACCAAACCAGGTTTAATAACTAGGCCATGTATAGATAAAATCATGAATCGCCTCAACCGACAAGTGTCAACACCCAAAGGCATGGAGTTATCATACATAGGCTAGTGGATGAACTGGCAAACTATTCTATACTACAACTTGGAACTCTGTCACCCAATTTCCTTTTTCACACGTAAAGCTCCTTAAAAGCCTCAATCCCACACAGCAGTACTAACCCCGCATTTTCCCATAACGCACATCATCACAATCACATTACGCAACCAACATATCCTCTGTGCCTCCCCTCATAAAGGGTCGGCGCAGTTGTCATCAAATCAGAGAGACTTGGGCAAAAAGCCATAAAACCCACAAAGCAAAAGCCATAGAATTGAAGGGGAAAAGGTTAGAGAGAGAGAGAGAGAGGAGAAGGAGAAGAAGAACAGCAGAGATGGGTGTAACCCTTGATGAGTTGAAGGAAAAGATGGCTGATTTTGCTAAAGAAAGGGATTGGGATCAGTTTCATAGCCCCAGAAATCTTCTCTTGGCAATGGTTTGTATTTGTACTTGTTTTTTTTGTCGATTTTGCCCGCAGATATATGTCACATTTTGGTTGTGTTGTGTTTAAAGAAAGGTTGGTATTGAAGTCTTGGTCTGCCGTATTTGAACTTTGTGAAACACGCACAAAACAACACTTAACCAAAATACATGGATTTTATTAATACTCCATCAAGAAATTTTTGCATTTTTTTCACCTAAAATTTGTGTTTTGAGAAAAGGGTTTTCAGCATTTTCAGTAATCTAGTCCTAACTTTACACATCAGATAGTTGTGTCAACTGAAGGGCTTTAGTCATCTAGATTTTTGAGAAAGATTTGATCTTTTTGTTTTCTGGAAAACCATTTTCTCATTTTTTTTTATAGTTTCTTTCTTTCTTTTTTGCCATCCTTTTTGCTATTGTGGATGTAGCTGAGGACATTGATGATGACTTTCCATTGAATGGAACCCCAGGGAGCAAAAAGAGGAGTTCTTTTTCTTAGGTTCTGTATTGGGAATCAGATCAATTAGGCCTACTCCTCTGTCAATTTATGTTTTATCCAGAATATCATTATGGCACTGTAGTATCATCACTGCCTTGGCTCCGCCACATTTTTGAACTTTATAAACATGAACTAGTACTTACCAATAAGAAACGTGGTACAACGACAATTTAGCATTATAGCCCACCTATCATAATCCTTTTTTTGTGGTTTTTTTTTTTGGTCGTGTGTGTGTGTGTTGTGGGGTTGGGGGGGGGAGTAGGGGGTGGGTGGGGGCGCTGTCAGACTTTTTGAGGTAGTACTAGCATTTTCTTGATGTTTTTTTGTTCTCTTGTTTCAGGTAGGTGAGGTGGGAGAGTTGTCTGAGATTTTTCAGTGGAAAGGTGAGGTCCCTAAGGGATTACCTGACTGGGAGGGGGAAGAGAAGCAGCACTTGGGTGAAGAGCTATCAGATGTTCTACTATATCTTATCAGGCTTTCTGACATATGTGGCGTTGATTTGGGTAAAGCTGTTCTGAGAAAACTTGAACTCAATGCCCTCAAGTACCCAGTCAACCTTTGCAAAGGTTCTTACAAAAAGTATAAGCATATCCACAATAATGCAACAACTACCACCTCAACCAGCATCATCAATGACAGCAAGAATGGTGTAGCTGATAATGCTGTTTGATCTTTCTTTGATCTCATGTCCTACTTTTGGCTTGTAGACTCTTCTTAGCTTTCTTTACTTGATCTTCTTAGTTTGAACTAATATTGTAGTTGTATTTTTCAGTGACAGAACTGCATATGTTTTGGTTTTTGGTTCTCCATTAGACATGAGTTATGGTAGCTTTTCATGCCCCTTTGTCCTCTTCTGGATGTATGGTAATTTGTTTGTGCTCCCAAATGGTACAATGGTTCTTGTACCACTCTGTTATACCCAAAAAACAGAAAAGAAGAAGAAGAAAAAAAAAAGAGAGAGAACCTTTTGCACATGTTTTGCTCTTACTTGGTCGTACCTAGTTTATTATTGGTTTGGGAAAGTTGATGTTGCCAATGAAACTGTCAGTCAATCTGTCACTTAATGCAAATGTGGGTTGGCCAGGTGATAAGATTTTTTAACTTTGTTTAAGAGGAGTTTGGGATCTATTTCTGATTTTTCTTATCAGCAGTCTTTTATTAGTAGGCGATTTGTAATAATCTCTATAAGTATGGCATTGAAATATATGTTAGCGGCCTGCTCTAACTCTGGAACAGGTAACCTTCCCCTCCACTTAGACTTTTTAATGTGGAAAAAAATCAGTTTTAAATTCTGTAATGTGAATTTAGTGATTCAAGTTGTATTACAATATATATATATATTGGTATACATTGAATCAGCAATGTACCTAATTTTATCACTTGTAGCACATTCATCTACTCTAAGAGGAGTGCATAGACCAATTCCTGATTCCAAATAGCTGAGCCAGGATCCACTTTACTTTGGCAAAGAATGGTGGAAAGCTTTTAAAGTTGTGGACATATATATGTCTTGGTGGGGTTCTTGCATGAGCACAATCTAGGGTGATGTGCCATGGTTCTTTTAGCCAGGTTTAGTCATCAGAGATTTGGTGACTGACTTCTGAAACACAGTCAATGTATCTGCCAGTAGATATGGGTGATTTCAGTGAGATATTATCCATCTGATGTGGGATGTTTGATTCTTTTGGATTAGGTCCATCCAATTAGTTTTAAAAAAAAAAATTCTTATTTTTTCCTAATGTTAATACAAGTCTAGGAATCTCATTTTGTTTTTTCAAACTAAAATTTTAATCTACGACTAATTCAGCAGACGTATCATGTCAAACACCCAAATGTTTAATAATTAAGTGAGGGGACAGGCCCTGTGGGGTTCTCCATCCCACATCGGTATTGGGGGTGGGTGTTTGGGTAGATAAGTTTGGGTGTTTGGGTAGACAGGCCGGCTTTTGGAGTTACTGTGAGGATTAGATTTATTTGCAAAAACATTCTTACTTTCGTAAGAAAATATGGGAAAAGGAAAATCAGCTCAGGGGCATGGGGGTAGTTACTTCTTAGCAGCAGGGCACCTGTGGGGTTCTCCATCCCACATCGGTATTGGGGGGTGGGTGTTTGGGTAGATGAGTCCCTCGTAGGACTCCAAAAGTTGCCGGCTTTTGGAGTTACTGTGGGGATTAGGTTTATTTGCAAAAACATTCTTACTTTCGTAAGAAAATATGGGAAAAGTGAGGAGACAGGAGAGCTGCCTTAGAATTTTCAAATCATTCTCCATAAATTATACTCTGATTTAGACACTTGTCTACAAGTTTCAAAATCAACGCGTTTTATGTAAAAGAATGTTTGTTAATTGGACTTAGTCTCCACCTAGGTTTGCTCTAATCTTGCTATCTTGTCACATTGAACATAGGCCTTTGAAGTTTTACAATTCTGCTGCTTTTTTTTTATTCAATGCATCAAGGGAGGAAGATTAAGGCATGATAGTGATGGAAGTTGTTACTTTCTCTAATTGAAGGTCGAAGTCCTTTTCATCATCTTTTTGTTTCCTAACGCAACAAACTCTTTTTGGGAGTCATTGGACCTTGTTGATCCTTATGGTTACTAATATTCTTGAGCTTTCAAAATTCCTTCATCCCTCTTTTATGGATCAACTTTTGCCACGCTAACAGAGTATAAGAAACGTTTCCATCCCTCTTTTATGGATCAACTTTTTCTACGCTAATGGTACAAGAAACGTTTTACTCAGGTAGATGTATGCCGCATGTGCAACTTTAATGAATTTAGGCTTGCTCATGTATAAAATCACACTAATAGTGTCGAAAATATTAGTGCATGACTTTTCTAGTTGCTTGCAGGATTGACCCTCTCCCTTTAAGACACAATTGGAATATTTTTGGGTTCGTCGGTGGTATTACGTAATTGGAATATGTGCAAAATTACACTAACAGTGTAAGAAATGCTTTACTCAAGTGGGTCCAAACGTGCGCCACATATGCAAGTTAGAGATATTAAATAGATAAAAATTTCGTTTAATGAATTTAGGCTTGCTCATGTATAAAATTACACTAACGGTGTCGGAAATATTTGTGTTTGAATTGCATTTTTCGTCATTTTTCATGGAAAAATTACTGTAACGATTTGATATATGTGAGGGAAAAAGGTGATAGGGAAATGTGATCACGGAAAACGATAATATTTTCCGACGGAAACAAGCAATCCAAGCAGAGCTTTAGTGCATGACTTTTCTAGTTGCTTGCACTAAGACCCTATCCCTTAACACACAATTGGAATTTTTTTTGGGTTTGTTGGGGGTATTACATAGTTGGAATATGTGTAAAATTACACTAATAGTATAAGAAACGCTTTACTCAAGTGGGTCCAAACGTGCGCCACATATGCAAGTTGGAGATATTAAATAGATAAAAATTTTGTTTAATGAATTTAGACCTGCTCATGCATAAAATCACACTAATAGTGTCGGAAATATTAATGCATGACTTTTCTAGTTGCTTGCACTAATGACCCTATCCCTTAGCACACAATTGGAATATTTTTGGGGGGTGTTAAGTAGTCCTTTTTGGCATTTTTTGACAAGATTAAAAAAATTAGTTGGTTTTACATCTTTAATTTTTTTTTGGAGTAAAGTGACAAGCTTTTGTTACATGATACTATAATGGCTCCAAACAGCACTTCCAAGAACTAGCATTTGCTTTGGAGTTGATGCAAATCTCGGATTAGATTAGCGTAATCATCTAGTTTACTAGGATAGTTGAAAATGACAGTTGTTTAGTGCCTTTGTTGCCATCAACATGACTTTAAAAAATGTTTCACTTAAATTAATAAGCTTGAGAGTGTACATTTTATTGTTTCACGAGTATAGGAGCTGTACATTTTTAGTGTTGTGGAATATTTGCTGTTTTCCTTTTCTTGGTCAGTGATATTTCCTAGCATGGAACCTTTATCTTGGTCAAATAGCTTTCAAGAGGCGTGGGCTTACATAGTTATGCTTTGTATTAAATATTTAGTACCTTGTATTGTTTAGTTGGCAAAGGATTGATGCATAACATATATTATAATTTTCTGTTTTGGCTGTTGGGTGGGTTCATTTGTCACATAGATTCAAGTTTCCTAAGATATGTACATTGTGTACTATGAGCAACCGTTCCAAACAATCCATCGTTTGAATTTAGCCATAAGAACAAATTTTTAAAATGTAGGTTCGAATTTAGTCATCAGTGCACATTTAAAAAACGTAGATTCAAATCATGATAGTAACTCTGACGTAGCTGATATGTACAATCTCACATGAACAGCAGTTGCAAATGATTTGTAATGAATCACAACCTATTTGAAAAGTGTTACGTCGTTTATAAACGTTTGCACTGATAACTGTTTGTACCTCTCTCCCATATACTAATTCAAGATATATATATATATATGTGTGTGTAGAGTTAGCAGTGATATCAACGTATAAAAGCTGTATAAGAATTGCATCAAACATGCAACAGATTATGATTTGAAGATCTAGTATTTTGTTGCCTACCTAGAAGAAATGCCAGGAAGTTCTTCGTATAAAGCAAAGAAATGCTACATGTTCAGCGTCCATTACCACAAAAATGATCAATGCAATCAATCATTGATTGCTGCTTATGGACCAGACATAACATACAATTCGAACCCTTTAAAATGATTTCAGTTAGCATCTTATTGAACAGAAACGAACCTAACAGCACCTTAGAAATCACTCACAATTCGAACCCTTTAAAATGAAAATTTTTCTCCATGCTCGATGTAGAGATTGTGTGCTGTGGTAAACCATTCAAACTCCTCTCATAGAACACTAGACTTTGCATTCTTGAAAGAGAGGTCATACGTGAGAGTGTTCAAAATATACAAGTTACCGACGATACAGTTTTCGTTCCAAAGTTCATACTAGTCTAAGGTGAACCTTTATATTTTTGCTCGTGCCAATTACAAAGAAGCAAAATTTGACTGGAATTGAGGTAAAAAATTATTGCTGGGATGTTTTTTCACTGGTTGAATTGACTAATATGAAGTACATGATTCACAGATTTCTTGCAACTAGGAGATGCGTGATGGAAAACCGTCTCCATCAAAAGCTTAATTGAGCAACTTTTTTTACCGGTAAAAGTTTGCGTACAACTTGGTCTTTTTCTTCAAGGATATTGGCTCAACAAGGCTTTTGGCCCCATTATATATCATACCGTTAATAGTAGATTTTAGCATGAAAAAAAGAACTGTTGTATGGTATCCTACAGGTAGAAAAGTTTTTGTGAAATGGGTCTAGGTCCCAAAATGACAAAAATAAGGACTAAATATGATTAAAAAAAACGTTACAAGTGAAAGAAATATAGTTGAGGGAGGAGAAAAGATAAGCTTACTCAAACTCATGAAATATATGCACAAAACCTGCAAGTGACAAGAAATAGCATTTGAATACATAAGATCCTTGTGCACTTGTGTTGGTAAAAAGGCCAAGAATGTGGTTCTTATATAAGCTCCTCCTGTACAAAGTTATGGTGAATTTGCTCAAACAATAATTCTTTCCTTGATGATCGTTCTATTGTTTCAGTCCATCATGGTTCTTGCTGGACTTTTATGCCTGTATCATTGTATTCTTGGAGGATACGGTCATGGTACACGTTCTAACACCCGCTGCAGAGTCCTTTTAATACCCTCTTGATCTAGTGATGTTGTGAGCAGTATCTCCTGCACCTGAAGATAAGGTAAAGTTTAGAGAGAGAGGAGGTTCCTTGGGAGGTGGTGGAAGGGAGCCAGACGGATGAGAAAGTACCTGTCTCCCGGCTCGAGCAAGGAGTGTAAACTGATCTCCAATTGGTGGAACCTGTAGAATGGGGTGTTGAGCCAGTACCTTTAATAATCATAGAAAAGTGTATGGTGTGATGTGATCCGACTTACATTTGAAAGCCAAAGCTGCAGATCTTGTGATACTACTCGT